ACTATTCAAAGCTGATGCTCGTAAAAAAAATCAGTCCGTACCGTAAAGAAAACACGTCTCCATGATAAAGACCAATGGGTTGATATTATTTAATAAAACAACAGCTGTTTTTTCTGAGAATCATAAGAAACCTGTAAGCACACTCTGTGGGCATGATACAGAGTTACTGAGACTACGAAGGCAGGGTTTAATGGGTTAACTTCGTGTACGGGAACACAAATCTGAAGCCACAGGTTTATTTATCAGTTCACATCATGTCCAGACCTTTCTACCGACTCACACGTGCGTTACTCATTGTCGGCCTACCATTGTAACGAAAAAGCTGTCTCATGTAGCTATCACGCAGTTTATTATATATATATATATATATAGCCTACTTCAATTTGTATTGGATTTTCAGCCGTTCTCATGAGTCCCATAAAAATTCCAAAGTAATTCAACCATACAGATATAACAGATGACACACACTGAAGCATCATGGTGAATTTAGTGTTAAAAGTACGCTACATTGTCTTTGAGCATTCACTTCCAACGGCGTCATCTGCACTAAGGCATTATCGATTATGTTTTCTTAACGAGAACTGTGAATTACGATCTCAAACACGGGATACTGTTTTTTAACGAGTTCATTACTAACAGATTCACCGGCGCCATATAGTCTGAGTTCCCAACAGACATCGTTAAACAAACCACAAATAGATAAAATGTTTATATATTTAATCCATTCGTATACTTCGACGGCTGTGAGACGTACACAGGTCTTGTAGATATCAGCTACTTTGACAGGACTGAGAGACCACAGAACTTTCAGTTTTTGTAATTTTTAATATTTATGTTAAACGGATAATTTTATTTTATTTCGGCCCACACAGCTCAAATGACAAGCCATTTGATTGATGTTCAACATTTCCGCGCTGAATTTGTGTTTATGAAACAAATCACACATTAATGACGAATTATTTGTACAAGTGGGGAGTGTGACTCATTTCAGTCGAACATTACCTCTAAGAGGAAGTCGCTTCAGGCATACATGAATTATCCAGCAAACGCGTTCTTTGTAATTTTTTATAACACATTTGCCTTGACAATTTATTGCAGATACAAATAACAAGCGATAACAACGATATTGCACAGGGGGCAACATTTTTTTAACATGACTGTCTCCTGCGTTCTATCACCTTGTAGTCTGTTATAAACTGACCGACGTTTCAGAGGAGTTTACTGTCGCCACCATCGAGATAATCGGTGCAACATCCGATAAGAAAACCAACTTCATACTCGTCGCCTTGAGAACCTCAAATTCCACTTACATAACAAATATTTCCATGTCGCCATATCTGCATTGAGCCTACAATGAAGAATGTTTTGTGAAAACTGATAAAGTTAACAACAGACGTAATGTAAAATACGGACTGTAATGATCGAGAAATTTTCTGCTCTTTGTATAAAGAATACTTAACAAGTTATTTTCGAACAAAAAGCAATGACTTTGCGTGGAAAGGTCTTACCGGGCGCCATACTTATTTAACACGAGGTTATGTAACCGATGGCCTAGCGCCTTCCTTAGCTAAGTTCAATACAAACGAGTTAACAGCCTTACAACCTTGAAAGCAGAAACACTGCCGGTACATACCTTAAATACTTTCTAACTTCATTTATGCTATTTTATTATTACTCTACTTCCATTGTAGAAATCAAAGCATGAAGCCCATTTACCAAGTGTTACAGCATATGCGATAAACACATAAAATGTGGAATTCGGTATGTGGGGTGATTCATTTCAAACCTATTCCCATAAAGCTGGTTTGAAAGCCGCCAATGGTAGCGCACTTTCTTACCTAACGACGAAGACAAGCCAGTCTTAGTAACGTAGTGGATATTGCAGTTGTAATTTTTAAATTAATCAGACAACAGATAATGTCCAAGAAAAATATGACAATAATATCAATATACGGCTGTAGAAAAGATAATATTATCCCCATTTTAACCCATAGGCCTCCCGAGAGATCTGATCTCTTCAAGTTTTCTAGCCAAATTTTGTATTTCTCATTTCCTATGCGTACTACGTGTGCCACTCATCTCACCCCCTTGATACATGCGTAAGTTATATAAAAGGTACAATCTTTTCGGTGTGTGCATGATTCTATAAAGTCACTACCAGTACATAAAAAAATGTAACCTTAATTTCACCCCTGTGAGTAAATTTATTTTAAGTATCTTGTCTCTAAAATTACTTACAATTCGCTAGTAATAACGTTATAAAATGGACACTTGTTGATACATGGCGTAAAAACAAAGTTTATCCACTGTCACAATCCCCCCCACAGAGCTCAGTTTCTCAACCCGCGGCACGCCAATATTTCTGCGAGATCCCATACATTTCTGTAATACTGTATCATCGTGCGTAATGAGAAAATATATGCCGCCTTCATCACATGTATAATTTTAAAATTCATTCATGAAAGTAACGTCAACAAATTTGTTATAGAAAATTTCTGAGTAGCTCCGTAACCTCTCGGTTAGAGATAGAGTTAGTAATATTTTTATTGAACTGTCACGAAGATTCAAAGCATTGTCGTCCGGCGTCCTAGGAGTCTAAAACAGAGGGAGAAAGTGACTCCACTTCTCAAAAGACTGAGAAGATCCCCTGTCATAATCTTCAATCCCACTTCCGCAAAACAAGATGGATCTTGCGATAAACCATAAAGAAGGCCACTGAGTTCAATGCAGACTGCATGTACAGAAGCCTGTTCTGTTGCAAGTCGGAAAAGAACTTCGTAACCCTGCGTCAGGCGACCAACCACGCTGATGTCGAATTCACAGTACGGGGAGCGAGTGAGTGCTCCCGTATGTTCCAAAAATACCCACTGTCTGCTTCCGCCAACTCAACTCTGTGGCTGTTCTCCTTGACAGACAGTGCCAGTTCAGTTTCGAATGTAACACTGGCCTTCGGAAGTCGTTCTGCGTACATTCTGATAGGAATGTTTAATGTTTACTCTGTCCTTTGTTTGCATGGTTTAATTATATTTAATAAATATCAATGGCGAGCTTTATAACTGTCCTGAATGAGGATAAAATTAACAGACGGCAACAACAGATAACTTCTAATGTATCTGACTTCATAAGAAAGGAGTGTCTGATAGTAACGTTGAAAATCTTAAGAAAACACAGTTTATTAACCAGGAAGCAGACTGTTACGTAATGAAAATAACTTCAGAACTGCAATACGAAATGCAAACAAACAGGTAGAAATCAACTTCAGAGGATGACAACGAAGCATGAGAACAATGAAAATTATTCGTGTTCACCCGATGTTTTTTATCAGAATTGGTACGACCCAGCCTGAACGAACTTGCCAACAAGATTTCGTCGCGAGCGATACGCGATATATAAATGTCGTTAACGGGTGAGAAAACCGAGGCCTTGCGGTCGGTTCAGGCCCTACGAAATGCCTACAAATCATTGTTTTAGAATTATTTATCTAAAAACGTAATCAATGATGGGTAAAGGATACAGAATCCCTTCAGCCACCGCACTCACTAATTCAGCCGTCCTCTTTTTATAACCTCCGGTTAACACGACGTGACACACTAATATGCAAAATATTCAGAAAGCTTCTGTACAGTAGACAACAACAATTTACTCACATTTATTTACAATAAGTACCGGAAATCGCATTATTTTACATTTAACGTTACGTCAACAGCAAACAACCGTCACAAACCCATGCTACCAACCAAGACAAAAAACAAACCATGTTGTCAGTTTCGGCACGTTGTTCACGTTCAACTACGAATCTACCGTTTCGAGACTTCTTGAACGCTCTAAATAAACTTTTTAGAAACAAACACATGTTTACGAATGTACACTACGCACATAATAGGTGCAAATAAGACAAATGTTTTAGTTTAATACAATAAAATGGGGCTAGGGTGAAAGCCGAGAGTTCTATAAATTCACAATTTCCGTGAAGATGTTCAGCTGTTTAGCGAAAGCTGCGCTTAAATAAAATTATTGGACGTGCAATTAGAGGTCGATTATTAGCAAACGATCTCGATATTTCTTCTCTGTACACTAAGTGTCTGTAACAGTTTTAACATATGGCTTACGTGACTCATAACAGAACGGTGCTATAACCTTCAGGAATAAATTATATAGGCAGTAATCTTGTTTACTCTGTCATTCTGCTGCGTATTATAATTACAATCTTGTGTTATCATTTATCAACACTAGGAAGGGAAGATAGCCAACATGCTTCCTGTGATAAACAGCTCAATTCTTCTTCTTCTTCTTCTTGACTCCTGACGAAATAACTTCACACAAAAGATCTTTCTTCCACAAGTTAACAGATACTGTCGTCTAAGTTCTGGCTAATGAACTGGAAAAGTAATGGAATACCGATTCGATTCCCGTCTACAGATTTCTTGAGCTTCTACGTTGGGAAAAGATTTGTAATCTTCCTCAAATCCAGTCAGCGTGTTCAAATCACGAAGGATGAGGTAGACGAAATATGTAGCAGGCAAAGCGAATAATAATTGTGTGTATGCCTTATGGTAAAAAATGTACCAGCTGCTTTAAAAATCAGTAACTCATCTTGCATTTGTTTCGTATAGTGATGAAAATAGTGATTATTTCTTTTAACAGTGTCAACCAGCTGATCTTTCTTCTGGTGAAGCGTTGTGTTTGCTTTGCGATATGGATTGCATTAACAAATATTAGTTATAGGAGCTCAAACTTCAAAGGGTTAAAGAAACAGCGAACAGGATGCGAACTGGATTCATCTGGCTCAAGAAGACGGTCCAGTGGCAAGCTCTTGTGAAGACTGACATGATAAATGATAGGGAACTTCTTTAGTAGTTGAATGGCTTTTTATTTTCCATCGAATCTGTTCCAGAGGTAGTTGGTTAGCTTCGTTGTCCAAAACAGTATTTTTATAAGTCGCGGTAAACTGACAACAAATCAACTGCCTTATACAAATATAACACAAGTGACGTGCTCACCTTCCAGGGTGTCCTCGAGATGAGCTAGCGGCACGTGAGGTTCCTCTATAAGCATCATGTTCCGCGGCGGCTGCTGCAACACATATCCGTTGGTTACCAGCCATCTACCCTCCTCCTGTTGGCAGACAAATGTCAGTTAATCGGGTTTCGTGTCTTTAGTCGAGACAGGAATTTCAGCCTGTGAAAATGGACAAAAATTAAGCTCCTGATATATTTTAACAGCCTCTGGTAATTTAATTATTAGAACAGAGGTAAAAAATAATGAGCTTTAAGTTCTCAGGTAAGAATGTTTCCAACGTAAAAATACATCGTAAGTTACGTCTTCTTAAGAA